ATTCCATTACCGAAAAGAAAAACCACCCGAACAGTCACAGGGATTTGGGAACTTGACCAGTTTGTCCTCTGCAAGGAAGAGAGCTCTGTGGATGCACCTGTTCTCAGGAGACGCCCCCCTGGGTCCAGAGGGACAGGGCACAGCCTACTTAAATGGAATGAGGATGGGGCTCCTGGGGGGCTCAGTCGGTTGAGCACCAACTTCAGCTCAGGTCATGATCTCGCCGTCCGTGAGTTCAGGCCCCGCATCGGGCTCTGTGCCGACAGCTCGGAGCCTGGAGCCTGCTTTGGATTCTGTGTCTCCCTCTCTCTGCCCCTCCCCTGCTCGTGCTCTGTCTCTCTCTGTCTCTCTCTCTCCCTCAGAAATAAACATTTAAAAAAATTTTAACGGAATGAGGTCCGTGATCTGGCCCTACCGAGAGGTCGTGACTCTCAGCACAGGCTCGTCAGTCACGCAAAGATCCCACGCTGGACAAGGAGGCCGATTTGCAGCCACCAGTGAGACAGGGTGAGGGACATTGGGATGACCTCCCTCCCGTGGCGGCCTGGCCAGGGCACGTCTGTGAGATGGTAGCTTGCTGGCTGGCCTTGGTGTGAGGCCTGCGGGCTTTGAGTCTCGGGCCCTGAGCCCCAGTGTCCTCATCTGTCCTACGGGAGAGACACAGCCAACAGCGGGGATGACCCTGGGGTCACATCTTCAGGATGGAGACCTCCCACCAGACAAGCCACGATGGGCCCTGGGGTCAGTCTCCACCTGCATTTGGAAGGATGCCAGTCCGGGGTAGGCAGAGCTGGCTCACAAAGGAGCCTGTTTCCAGGACCCAGGACACGCGGCCGGTGGCGGCATAAAGGACACACCCTCGGTGAAGCTAACGCATGACGAGTAACAAAACCACAGCCCGCCGACCCCTTGGCCTGGCCTTCCCACTCCTGGGGAGCTAGTCTATCGACGTCCTTGTGCATACGGGGTGATGGATGCCCCAAGTTCTGTCCTGCGACGCGGTAACAGCCCAAGACCGGAAATTAACCAGCTCGTCCAGCAACAGGCCGTATACACAGCCTGCAGCCCAGCCACCCTCGGGAACACCACACGGCTGGACTCCAGAGGCCTGGCGAGCCGCAGAGGGCGCAGACGGGGCTCCAGCGCGGCGCGCTCGGTAGAAGGAGCCACGTGCAGGGCAGCCCCGTGTCACTTCGTGTGAACCAAAGGGAGGGGTCAGCACCCCTGAACCGAAGAGGAGGGGCCTCCCTGCGGACCCACAATGCCGGCCTTCCCTTCAAGCAGCAGGCGGTGGCTGGTCCACACCCCACTTCCCCGGCCCCCCGGGAGGGCAGCGAGGCTCAGCTCTGGGCACCTTTGCCCAAGAGGCCTCCTCTACAAAGAAATCTATTCCCGGGGCGCCTGGGTGGCGCAGTCGGTTAAGCGTCCGACTTCAGCCAGGTCACGATCTCGCGGTCCGTGAGTTCGAGCCCCGCATCAGGCTCTGGGCTGATGGCTCAGAGCCTGGAGCCTGTTTCCGATTCTGTGTCTCCCTCTCTCTCTGCCCCTCCCCCGTTCACGCTCTGTCTCTCTCTGTCCCCAAAATAAATAAACGTTGAAAAAAAAAAAATTAAAAAAAAAAAAAAAGAAATCTATTCCCGTTAAGGAACTGATTCTGCATTTATCTACCAGGGAGAGGAATCCTGCGTCTCTCTGACAGAGACCCCCCGGGGGAGGGGAAGGAAACCTGTTGGGCTCAGAAAGCCAAGTGGCAGGTGCGGGCTCTCCAAGGGCCAGGCTTTGGTCCGTCCCAGTGCCATCCTGTAGACACCAAGGGCAGGCCGGCGGCCCAGCCTCATTCACTCCTGCCCCCCACCCCGGGAGCCTCACCCCCTCTCCTCTATGGACTAGAGGAGCCTCCGTCATTCTCTAAGCTGGCGGGATTCCCCACAGGCCCCGGAAGCTCCCGGAAGGTTCTCACGCCCAAGTGGGCCAAGCAAGTCCGTGTCAAATTTGCTGCTAGCATGAGGCATTTCCCCCAACACCGTCTTCTGCAGGGCACAGAGCCTGGCTCCCACCACTTGCCAGACCCCTCCTCCTGGTGCGGCGCCCCGGCCCCCCTCTCCAGGCCCCTCCGCAGAGCCTGGAGGACTTCGCGAGGGACGACTATGTGCCGGGAGTCTGAAGGGCCTTGTCTGAATCCCGGCTCTGCGGCACATGAGCTATGCAATCGGCTTAATCTCTGGGTGCCTCGGTTTCCTCATCGATGACACAGGGATGATGACGCAGGCTTCCAGGGCTGGAGAGGACACGAGTTCGATGTGTCCGTGGTGAGTGCGCCGCTCAGGGTTAGGGTCGCGGTTTGGGAGCGCTCATGAGACATGCACGTGAGGAGCACAGTGGGAGGCCGCCTAGGTGAGATGCCGCTGTGCGTACTCCTGTCCTGAGAAGCTTGTTCAACCTACGGACTCGGGACCCCAGGCACACCTCTCCACCACTTGGGGGTCCTCCTTACCGGGTCATCAGCCTAGATGCCACCTCCTCCAGAAAGCCTTCCAGGATTTCCCCGGGCTAAGCTGCCAGCATCTGATTACACACACTTTCCCTGGAGCAGGCATGAGCTCACGCGTTACGACTTTGGGGCCGGGCCCCTTCCCCTCACCACCCGCTGTGCCCCCGGGCCCAGCACCAGAACGAGGCCCCAGAATGGCAGGGGAAGGCGCACGACCTTGGAGCTGGCTCAGTGTGAGTGTGAACCCCCACACACCGTGTGACTCCCCCCCCCCCTTGGGCTAGCGTCACCTCCTTGTCTGCAACGCCGGCGGATAACAGCTGCACATCCCCGAGAGGCAAGGATCATAAACTATGCTAATGTGTTCAAAGGGCCTGGCACCCTGCCTGACGCTGAGGAGGGCCTGACAAATGACTGTCCTGTCCCTCCTCCACGACTCGGGTGACGGCCAGGCTGAGGCCGTTGGCTGGAGACAAACAGGCCTGGCCGCCCTGAGTGACGCCGCGTCACGCTCCAGGTCCCCCCCGGGCCCTAGTAGGACCCCTTTCTCCCACAGAGCTGTGACCCCCATTGGGCTGTTCTGCCGGGACCGCCATGGCCCTGGAGCCCCCCCCCCCCATTTGACCGGAGGCCCTGCCCGGGTGTCCCCAGGTCGTGGGGACCAGAAATGGGCTGGGATGTAAGAACCCAAAGAGGTCGTGGGAAGTAAGAAGGAACATCTCACGAGAACCACAGCCTTGAACCCATGACCCTGCCCCCTTAGGGGCCACGGCCCTTTCTCCCTGGGAGAGGCCGGCCAGTAAGGTGCAGTGTCCCCAGATGGGTCGGGGGCATTCTCTTCGTTCCTGTGGTGTCCACGCTGGTGGGACAATTGGTGCCCAGAGCAGCTGAGCTAGAGACGTCCACAGAGGCATGTCGCCAAAGCCCCATCCCTTCGCCCAGCTGGCCTCGGCCTCCCCTGGCAGGTGTGCCTTTGAGGCCAAGTCCTGGCCCCCAGAATCGAATCCACAGGCCGGGGCAGGAGCACCGTGTGTCACTCTGTCCTGGCCCTGCGTCACGAGCCTTCCAGACATTGTGTCGTGTAATCCTCCCAACAGCCCTGGTCCCTGGGAGCCATCCCGTCCCCATTTTGAAGATGGGGAACGCGGAGGCACACGGAGGGAGGTTATCTGCCTCAGGTCACGGAGCTCAGATGTGGCAGGGCCGGTGTGCCTCAGGGGACTGGCCGGGGTGGGGGGGGGAGCGGAAAGACCTTCACCCCGTGCACCCCAGTTTAGTACGACACAGCGTGGGGCTGCATCCCGGGAGCCAGACCCCCGCCCCGGCTCTGGCCTCCAGAGGTGCCTACGGCCGCCTCCCCTCACAGCGGGTCGGCAGCCGGCATACTCAAAGCCCGCGGGCTGTCCTTGGCCTTGGCGGGTCCCGCCCCGGGGCCAGTCTGCGGCACCCCTCCCCTGCCGTGCGCTCGCTGCGACCGACCATCCATCCTGCTTGGCCCGGGATGCTCTGCGGTTCTGATTTGAGCCCTCGGCCTGGCCGAATGTCACCACTCCTCCGAGAGCCCTCGTCCAGCCAAGTGACTTATTCATAAGGACTCGGAACCATGGCACACACTGACCGACTCCCAGGAGCGGGCAGGGTTCGGAGAAGGAAGGGGCGGACACATACGGGGACGCGGGGCTCGATCGGGCGTGATGGACAGCCGCGCACCTTGGACAGGCCCCGCCCACTCTGCACCCCTCGACCCCGCTGTCCCTCCACTCGCCCTGCAGCTTGCTGTTCCCGGGACACCCTTGGCCTCCCCCGTCCTCCTCTCATCGTCCACAGCCTCCCTCCTAGAGGGATTCGCCTCAGGCACGCCTGTCTGGGGGGACTTCCGGAACCCTCTGCCCACCTCCGGTGAAGGCTGGTGCCCCCCTGGGGTCCCCGCAGCCCCTGGATGTGGTGAGGTGAACGCTGTCCCCCAAAGTTGGTCCACCTGGAACCTCAGAATGAATGTGACCTTATTTGGGAAAGGCGCCTTTGAAGACGAAATTAAACCTCAAGCTGAGCTCATCCTGGAGCGGTCCTACACCCAGTGACAAGTGTCCCCACAATGAGGAGAGGGCGGTACAGGGGGAGGGGGCCAAAGGAAGATGGAGACGAGACCGGGTCACGTGTCTCCGAGTCCCTGAACGCCAAGGACTGCCAGAAGTCGGGCGAGAGGCCTGGGGCAGATTCTGCCTGAGATGTCCTCCCCGGTCCCCGCCCTGCTACACGGCCAAGCCGGCTTCTGGGAGCACCTCAGAGCCCACCCCCCGGGCTCCCGACCCCGCCGCTCTCCTCCGCTCTGCCTCCACGGGGGACACCGCCTGTCTTCGTCTTTGCCGTGGGTCGAATCGCAGCTCCCCAAAAGGGGCTGAAGCCCGAACCCCTGGTACCTGTGAACGCGGCCTCAGAGGCCATTGAGGGGACCATTCTCCCTCACAGGGAGCCAGCCTGTGGCACCTCACTCCAGCACTTCCGGTCTCCAGAGCTGTGAGGTGCTAAGACAGGCACGTGCCCATTCTCCAGATGAGGACACCGAGGCTCAGCCTGCCCGAGGTGACCCAGCCGGGAACTGGTAGGGCTGGGGTCTCCACCGGGGGCCCACCTGACTCCACAGGTGGAGGAGGCCCCCAGGGGCAGCGGGGCTGCTGCCTCAGAAAGCACTGGGTCCCGCCCTGGCCGTGCCAGCTCAGACAAGTGACAGCCCAGCGCCCCCATCCGTCAGGCACCTCGCACAGGCACCAAACCTAACGTTTAAAAAGAAGGGAGTTGAGACGTAAGCTTCGAAAGGGCCCCTATAAATCAAAATCAGTCAGCAGAAAATAAATGGAGAACGTTGCTGCTCGGTGGAAAGTGGCATTTTACATCTAAGCCATTTAAGGGATGATGTGTATGTTAATAGATGGGTCTTAGTCCACTTTCCCAGCCCGCCGTCCTTTGAAAATACTATTTACTCTCTATTTCTAACAACCCGATTGGATTTTAATCTCCCCTATCGCTCCCTTCTAGGTCGCTGTAGAGAAAACGACTGATAAACTGACAAGGCTCTTAGGCACTCATTCATTCGTTCGTTCGTTGGTTCGCTCACTTCTGCCGTTGCCATTCCGAACAACACTCGTGCGTTTCTACCTGGCGGACTGTTTGTGGCGATAAAATGTCATCGGAAACGCGGCGATGTTGGTACATCTTCTCTCAACATAGAAAGTGCCCGGGGTGTCTCTGGAGGTGGGTGGAAACGGCTGGTCCTCGTTTTAAAACAGAAATCCCTCCCCAGGCAGGGCTCCAACGCTCGGCCCCTCCTCCCCGCCAGTCCCCAGCAGGAGAACCATATGTTCGATCCTTCCAAGAATTTCTCCTTGGAAATGATGCTGTCACGTCAGAACAGAGGTGCCTGGAACAAAGGAAGTGGGGGGGGGGTAGGAGGGGAGCCCTTGACCTCATCCGCCTGGAAACGCCGAGATTTGGGCCACAGCAGCCCCCCGAAAATGTCGCTTGGCTTTAAGGGGAGCAGGGAGGCCGGTCACCCCCAAAGGCCTGTCTCAGGAAAGCAGGGGGCCTGCTGGGCCCGTTACCAGCTTGGAGAGCGGCCACTTGGGGCCCATCTGAGCTCTGCAAAGACTGATTTATCTCCCCGAGAAAGCTGGTGGGAGAGACCGGCAAGGAAACCCGGTCCCTGTTTCTGGAGCCCGCCCCTCTCAGCCATCTGGGGTGCAAAATGGCTTGTGGGGGCCTGAGGCGCTTCGGCATTTCATGGGCCACTTCCTCCATAAAAAAATATTAACGGTTATATTTTATGGCTGCGTTGGTATAAAGAAGATTGGATCCATATTCTATATCCAAACATTTCCTTGACCTAAAAACTTGCCTTTTCTTCTTCTGATTTTAAAGGAAATTAAAACATTTTTGCGGGTGCCTACACGTCCCGGGGGCCCTGGCACGGAGCCCTGAGTCTGCAGGAGACGCGGCCTCGCGGCCTCCCCACCAGCCCGCCTCCTCCCCTCCCTCAGCCTGGCCGCGCTCGCCCCTGCTCGCCGGACCCGCGGCCCGGCCCCCCAAGTCCCCCCTTACCTGCCGTTCTCCCACCACATGGATCACGATACCCCTCCCGCACCCGGCACCCTGACACATCCCCTGGTGCAGGCCCTGTGAAGAATCCCAGGAAACCCGCCAACGTATAGGCGCATCGGCAGACTTTTCCACCCCACCTCAGGGTTCACAGACCAGCCTGGGACCCGGCCGGTCTGTGGGGCCAAGAAGCCATTCCCATCCCCCCCCGGCAGGGTAGGAGGAAACGCAGGTCAAGCTCATCCCGGTGGGACTGCCAGGCTTGGGTCCTCTCCAGAGGGGTCCTCTCCAGTCTCTGGGCCTCTCTAGGCCATCCAACCTGGATTCAGGACGGAGACAGCGCTTGGGAACTCACTCTACAACTTCAGACGTGTGAGGAGCGTAAGGCCCACCCCCAGGCACCAGCACCAAGGTGTCTCCTGCCCCACCAGGCGCCCTCACTGGCCGTCAAGACCTGGGGACCTCGACCCCCACCCTCCACCCCCCTACCCGGCTCACCCCACTCCTCGCCCTGAAATTCCTCCCCCGACCCCACGAGTGACACCACCTGCCCCCGGGGGCCCCCGGAGGACTCAGAGCGCCTCCTACGTCAGGCCTTCCCCATGACTCGGCGACCCCTAGTGGGGGCCACGTTCTTCCCTGTAACCCTGACTCCTCATTCACCTGCTGCTTCCCCTCCGCCCCCGGAGACCCCTCCAGGGCCAGCTGGGGGCCTGGCACCCACGTGTCTGCCATGGGGAGGGGGTGCTGCGGCGGAGGGGGCCCGTCCCCATCATCACCGCCGACCATGTCGCATCTTGCCTCCTCCGATGACTCACAGCCGGGGTCTGTCTCCTCGGCGCCCAAGCTCCCTGGAACACGAGGGCTGGGCACCCGCCTCCCCAGCACCTAGTGCACAGGAGGTCCTCAGGCCACAGGCCAGAATTTGTGCACTGGAGTCATGCTGCCACTGCAGAGGAGGGCAGGAATGACCCTGACCCTCCCAAGGGACATCCGGGGAGGCTTGGAAGTAGACGTGTCTGCTGTTCTGGGACAGAGGACGGGGGAGGAGGAGAGGGGGGAGGAGGAGAGGGAGGGGGAGGAAGTGGAAGAGGGAGAGAAGGAGGAGGAGGGGGAGGAGGGGGAGGGGGAAGGGAGGGGGAGGGGGAGGGGGGAAGGGGAAGGGAGGGGGAGGAGGAGGGGAGGGGAGAAGGGAGAGGAAGAGGGGTAGGAGAGGAGGGGGGAGGGGGGAGAGAAGGGGAAAGGGGAAGGAGAGGAGGAAGAGAGGAGTAGGAGGAGGGAGAAAGGAGGGAGAGAAGGAGGAGGGGGGAGGAGGAGAGGGAGGAGAGGGGGGAGGGGGAAGAGAGGGAAGAGGGGAGGGGGAGCAGAAGGGGGAGGGAGAGGAGGGGAGGGGGAGGAGAGGGAGGGGGAGGAAGGGGAAGAGGGAGAGA